TATACTCTGTTTTTAAACCAGGAGGAGTAAACGCGAAAGTCAGATTTACACTAGGAAAAATCACCAGAAAATATCACTAGATATTTTGGCGGTAAATTTAAATTAATAATTATTATTATTTATTTATTTACTTATTATTGTATTTATTTTCGTTTGTTATCGTCAACACTATACATACAAATTAACATTGAAGTTATGAGTGTATTTATTTCAAAATATAATAAAAAAGGGTTTAAGAACACAAAATATACAATAATGACACGAAACTGTCGAATTATCAATTACCTAACCTTCAAACTCAAAATCAAAATTCAAAATTGCCTGTGTGTGAACCTTCCTCGCATTCAACCAATCACGTGCAAGGTCAATCTGGTGACAAATTTAAAATACTCCTCCTGGTTTAAAAACAGAGTATAGTAGGTATAAATATTTGACAGATGTGATAAATATCTCAAGGTTCTCCAATATCATGGCTGTGGAACGTCAAAGAAAAAGGTGTAGATTTATTTTTTTAGTACCTTATCCCACTTATGCCCGAATTAATTTTTTTTAGATTTTTGTGTTTCCAGTATCATTTTTTCCAGCATTATTTTTAAGAAAATATGGACATGAACAGGACAATATACTTTCTCAATAAAATCAATCAAATCAACATAAACTTTAAAACTAAATGTATTGGAATATTTATTGTCCATTATCTTGTGTGGAAGTGAACAAAACAGAATTCATGGAGATTGACTTTATATTTTTGACAAGACTATCTCGTGTTTTTTTACAGATAGCACAGTGATTTTGTTTTTCTGCATAGACAATCCAGTGGTTTCTTGAAATCGCACTTGCGTTGGCACTCACCACCTCATCCTGCCGGGGGAATACCATATTTTTGTAAATACGTTCACACTACTATTCTTCGAAAATGTAAATAATCCATTTTTTAGCCAATTTCTTTTTTATATAGTTGCCATCCATTGTGCGCTAAAATATCGACAGAAAACNTTCAAAATCAAAATTCAAAATTGCCTGTGTGTGAACCTTCCTCGCATTCAACCAATCACGTGCAAGGTCAATCTGGTGACAAATTTAAAATACTCCTCCTGGTTTAAAAACAGAGTATAGTAGGTATAAATATTTGACAGATGTGATAAATATCTCAAGGTTCTCCAATATCATGGCTGTGGAACGTCAAAGAAAAAGGTGTAGATTTATTTTTTTACTACCTTATCCCATTTATGCCCGAATTAATTCTTTTTAGATTTTTGTGTTTCCAGTATAATTTTTTCCGGCATTATTTTTAAGAAAATATGGACATGAACAGGACAATACACTTTCTCAATAAAATCAATCAAATCAACATAAACTTTAAAACTAAATGTATTGGAATATTTATTGTCCATTATCTTGTGTGGAAGTGAACAAAACAGAATTCATGGAGATTGACTTTATATTTTTGACAAGACTATCTCGTGTTTTTTTACAGATAGCACAGTGATTTTGTTTTTCTGCATAGACAATCCAGTGGTTTCTTCAAATCGCACTTGCGTTGGCACTCTCCACCTCATCCTGCCGGGGGAATACCATATTTTTGTAAATACGTTCACACAACTATTCTTCGAAAATGTAAATAATCCATTTTTTAGCCAATTCCTTTTTTATATAGTTGCTATCCATTGTGCGCTGAAATATCGACACAAAACGCAAAAATAGCCTTTTTTTCTGTTTTGATACCCACCTTTCCACTCTACATTCTGGAAGCGTAAAATCACAAGTACTGACCTTCAGGAGTACTCTATTATCATGCCTGGTTGTAACGGTTAGTTTATTGGCAACATCTGTGCAATAGTCATAGAAACCTCGGTCTTTCTTTTCTACCACTTTTGAAGGTATTACGGCACACTTTTCAATTCTATTTTATTTGATAGTTCCTGTCAAAATCAGTTATTAGTTTGTTTTATTTGTTCTTTTATCAGTCCAAGTACAGCAGACTCTCCTATACTAAATGCTGGTTCCTTTATAGTTGGTTTTCTTACTTTTTCTGGTTGTCACATTTTCTTCTTTATCCGCTAAAGTACCAGCTGCATTTTATCTCGTCGGTTTTTTCCTTGGTGTGGGGTCAAATTGCATCAAATACGCAAGAGGTTAGCAGAGGCACCACATTTTGTAACAGTATCGTATCGGCTTTCCTTTTAAAAATTGTTTTGCCCCGTGCTTACCAAAGTATGAACCCATACTTTCATCAACACTCAGCCTTTCTTAGAGTTCTAAGAATTTCAAAAATTTTGAATTAAGCACTTGCATCAATTCTCGTAGTTTTGCAAATTTGTCGCCCTGAGAAAGGTTATTAGCACAGTGGAGATGTCTTTCTATCATTTCGAATCCATTTGTTCTCATAGAAGATATTCACTAGTGTCATATTGCAAGATTCGGTTCCACATTCTACATCTAGGAACAACACAATAAACACATAATATAGTAATATGGCCAAAAAACACTTTATTTCTTCATTGGAATTCCGGAAATTAAGTTCACCCTTTTGCTGTGCATATAACGTCGCCATTTCTGCCAAAAATGATATAATGCTATCATCAAGAAAAAGCTCAAAGCATTCCACCGGAACAGAAGGAATGGGTGCTGATTGCATTGGTTTCTCAAAGTTTGGAAACCCAGGAATAAGATGGGATTATTGCCAGTTTCTTTGTTTCGATAACCTCTTTTGTATATCTGACAAAGGTTCGTTGTCACTATTTGACTCTTCGTTAGTATCGCTATCACCAATTGTGAAAGTCCGTCCTTGATTTGTAATTTTCGCTGTAGCTTCCGCTTGAAGCTATCGTCCATCCAGTTATTAATGTCGTTGCAGAAGTCTTCATTGCCGCTATCTTCAGCACTTTCAGCACCATCATCTGGAGGAGTGATAAAAACATCAACGGTCCAAAAATCTTCGTCTTCTATTATTTGAATGAGTTCTGCAGTTGTGAGGGGTCTTAAATTATTATAAATCTTTATGGACCCGCTTAGCATAGTTCCAATATTGGAACTTTTGGAAAAAGTGTTTTTTTTTGTACTTATCCTATTTATTATTATAGATGATATATGGAAATGTGTTGAGAATTGTTAGGGCAATAAACACATCTCAAAATAATAGATAATATCAGTTTAAAAATAGAAAATGTCACTTACCTTTTACTAGCCATTTTTTACGAAAGTAATTTCCAACTTTTTCTACACGTTAAAGGCACAATAATTCGTCAAACAATCACTCTCACTAATCAACGTGTTTACTAAAAACGTGTTACTGTCTGCAAAATCACGTTGTGACTAACAACAAAGCGTGGAGAGGAGCAAAACGAGGTTATTCCATTATTGGAACTGTGGGCATAAACAGGTTAATGCTACATATTCTTATAAAAGATGGAATATGTAGCATAAGAAATAATAATAAAAAATAAATGGAATAAAAACAATAATATATTTTCTTATATTATTGTTTACCATCGGTAAGATTATTACAGAGAATAGCGGAACAAAGAACACTACTCACAGTTTGCAGCCACTAGAAACTCCAAAATCAGATGACGGCTGGGTAAAATATCAAAATTGCCAACGCTGGACCCACGAAGCTTGCGCTAAGGTAAATCACGACGATGATGAAGACAATTCTTGCGATTTTTGCAAATAAAACTTAAAAGTTTGAGTTACTTAAGTGAAATTCACTGTATGTAATTCATTCATGGACTGATACAGCTTTAGACTAAAAAAAAAATACAGCTTTAAAATCAAGAAAAAGGTAAAACGAGTCGATGTTATACTCATAGCATTTCTCAAGCATCTGACGCAATATAAAAATCTGGTCTGTTCGTCGTCAAATCTGTCGTCGATCCACCAGTTCAAAATCCGCATTGGTATTGTATAATTCTGTGTTCCGCGTACATGTTCAACAGTATTTTGTAGTAGTGTGACCTTTCTTACGTAAGAGGCATATGAGTCTGATGTTCCGCTTCATCGGCATCCGTTTTTCACGCGAAACTTTTAGGATGATTTACAGCATGGCTTCCTCTAATCTTTATCCACCGGTTTTAAAGAGTTTGTGGTTCTTTAGCTTGATTATAGCATTTCGTATTTCCTGCAAATTGGGCATTTCTACTGGGTCAACCGTTTTGTATTTCTCTTTCTTCTTGGTCATCAGAGCCAAGCATTTCGGGGAAGTGTTATCTCCTCCTTGTTGGTACGAATTTGTGCTTGCTCTTACATATTATGCTGATTTTTGATTTAAAATCCTTTCTTACATTTTTGACTCTTTGGTACAACTTTTTCGTTTCTGACTGATTTTAGACTCGTTCTATTTAGTCCAATATTCTCTCCTCACCTTCTCTTTTCTCTTCTCCTACGTATTCTCTTTTTCTCTCTTCTAAGTTTTCTATACCTCTTCTCTGCCTGGCTTATTTTCCGCTATTGTTTCTTCTGGTATGGTTTGTTCTTTCTGGTCATACTCACTTGGCATTCTTCATCAAACCAGTCGTTTCGTTGTGTTTTATGGTCATAGCTCAAGATGCTTTCGACTGCTTGTTTTATGACCTCGTTAACACTTTGCCTTATAGAGTTTACTGGTTTGTCACCTTTAATCTTTAAGTTCTCCTCAATATAATTCGAGTACGCAATCAATATTTCCTCTTATTTTAGGGCATCTGTGTTGTATCTCCTCGACTTGCTTCCTTTAACTTTTTTTAACGTGTGGTCCGAATCGATGTTTGCTCTTAAATAACGTTTTCTGATTGGTTAAATTCTTCAACTTGAAATTCGTAATTTAAATTTCTCCGGTATTACCAACTTCGAAATGTCAAATGTCACCAATTAAATTTTATCAAACATTATTGAAATTTCTGTTTTAACAATATTTATACATGAAATGTTGTAGTTTTATTGCTTTAACTTTGTTTTGCTGATTTCGGAACATTTTCTTTTAGATTTCAACGTCCGGCTTCAAAAATGTATCCAAATTTAATCTACGGATTTTCGTCCAATTCTTTATCAAAACTCCCATATGATGGATGGTTTTCGTTTTTGATATGATAAGATTATCGTTTTCAATGGTTTCAACCGGACAAACATGAATTATAGTAAGAAATTAATGAAAAATGAAATTTGAGGTTATGTCACTGCCAAAATTCTACAAAATTACTTCGTATCGACTTTATATGGATTAAATAGAATAAAAAACGTAAACGGTCAACAATACGTAATGAATTCTAACATATCTACAACATTTTATTAATACAAAAACAAATTTCTATAATTATTATTCATAACCTCACCCACAAGTAATACGATTATGCAAAATTTCAAAAAATAATGAACGACTTGGTTGTATTATTACAATATGTACATCCTATAATGTACCCAAATAGATATGGGATAACCCAAACTAGAAAGGTTGTATTTTTAATGAAAAAAGAAAACAATTCAATTTATCATATAAAAATATCATTCTATTTTTTTATTTATTAAACTATTGAGCTATTAGCCCATTGTACAACTTCTGTAGGAATACTAGCTGATGATTTTTTAACAAATTCCAAAATTTGTTGAGGCGATAATAACAATTTAAACATTTGATATTCCTTTTGAAGCTTAGTTCCTTGAGAAACAGACACAATTAACTCCATATTCTAAAATAAAATAAAAGATTACCTCATTATAATTAGTTATTAAATATTAATTAACCTGAATATGTTCAAAAGCTTTCATAACAACAGCTCTTTGAACGGTTTGAATGTTAGAATTAGCATTTACAAACTTAACATATCTTGTATAAATCATTTCAAAATTCATCAATTGATTATCGTATATATCACAGTGATGTTTCATAGCGATTAATAAACAAAGTTCTAAAACTGTGACGTCATTTAACATTTCGAGTATTTCATCTTTTTCAAATTCTGCTAATTTATCTTCAAAATCTTTTATTGTTAATGTTGATTTTTTCTGAGATAATGAGTTGATTATCTGCAACTAATTTAATTTCTATTATTTATTTAATTAAATTAATTTAATAAAAATTCCCACCAAAATATTTTTTAAACATCTTTCATCACAATCAACATCGATTAATCGTTGAATCAGCTGCATAAACTTTTTATTATCAAGAATTTCTTTAACACAACTATTCCATTCATTTCTATACTTTTTTGGAATATTTAATTTAAAATCATCACTAAACATTAAAAAATAACCAATCCTTTCAATCAAACTCTTTAGCTCTAATGTGTTATTATCATTTCCAGGTGATAAAAAAATTTGTCTGTGAGAAAACCGAGATTTTACTCGCTTTTCTAATAATTCAATTACATCTAATCGACAAGTTGTACCTAAAATAATTTAATAAAATTATTTTGAACATGATTTTTTTAATTTTAGTTACCAATAATGCATAAAGGTGTTTGTGCCGATTGTGAAACATCAAATAAATTATACAATAAAGTTTGATTGTGGTGATTACAAAACAAATCGAATTCTTCCAAAATAATAACGACACTTTTAGCTGTTTCTTTGTTCCCCGATTTTAAGCAAGCCAATAAAAAGGCTAAATTCTCAGCGAAACTTCCAAAAACTTTTCCATCAACTGCATTATCCAAATCCATTTGATTTGTCATTTCTTTTAAAGCTAAGCGATCATCTGTATGGACTAAACCGTGAAGTTCCACAAACACTGAATTCGTCCGTAACAATTTTTTCTTATTTAAATTATTTAATACATTTCTCAATAACTATTAAGAAAAATAAAGAATTAGTATATTATTTAAAAACATTAATTAATTAGATTGTTTGTGCTTACAGTGGTTTTTCCTGAACATCTTGGCCCTATTAACAACACCGAATTTGATTCACCATTCTCTATGGTCCTTTCAATTAGTTTTTGTATTTGATTCGTTTCGTTTTCATAACCAATCAATGTAGAATCGTTTAAAATTTTCGATTTTAAATACGAACGTGTTATTGATATATTTTTATTTGATTCATTCATTTTTATATTGGATTCTTAATTTTATGTTTGGTGAGGTTATGATGAAAACATAACCTTAAATTTTTAAACTTGACGTTTGATTGAAATGTATAAATTTTATAAATTTAAAAGACAATTTTATTAGAAAGGATATAAAATATGTATTATTATAAAAATATTAAAAAAAGATATAAAATAAAATTAAAACAATATTAAAATATAAAGCGAAATATTAACGGTTAAAATTTTACTATTTTTAGGTTATCCAACTTGACTTGGTTACCATGGTGATTACAATCCAAATATTGCAGATGCTTGTTAAAATTAAAATTGAATTTAAGTTCTTTTAAGGAAAACGTCTTATTTAATTGGTTTAAAACGCTGTATTTAACTCAAAATTGGTTTATTTAGGGAATTATAAACAAGGTAAGTGGATAAAATCAAAAAAAGATATTTTTAATTAATTACTCTTAATTGGAATCGATTTAAATTAATTACAATTAACGAATTTATTATGAATGCGAGATAGTCGTAATGAAATCGAAATGTTTTAAAATTAATAAAAATTAGGATAGAATTGATAAAAAAATCGGAATAAAATTTTATTATTTTGAGGTTATCCAACTTGACTCGGTTACCATGGTGATTAAGATCCAAATATTGCAGTTGCTTGTCAAAATTGACGTTGAATTTAAGTTTTTTTAATGAAAAACACATAATTAATTGGATTTAAAGGTTGTATTTAATTCAAAATGGGTAAATGGATGAAATTATAAGCAAGGTAAGTGGATTAAATCAAAAAAAAATTTTTTTAGATCAATTAAAATGTACAAGAATTTAGGGTTAAATAACAATTAAAACTAGAACTAACACTAGACCTAGAACTAGAAAGTTTTAGGTTTAGCCGGGCGTCTTAGACAAGAACTTAGAAAAGTCTGAAGACGCACGGCTAAACCCGAATATTTCTAGTTCTAGGTCTAGTGTTAGTTCTAGTTTTACACTAGCACTATCACTAGAACTAACACAAGACCTAGAACTAGAATCATTCGGGTTTACCCGTCTTGAGAGACGTGTGGCTAAACCCAATACTTTCTAGTTCTAGGTCTACACTAGGTACACTAGGTGTTAGTTCTAATGTAAATTAGAACTAACACAAGACCTGTGAAGACCTTTCAAGAGTCTCTGCAAGCTATATGGGACTACAAATAAATACGAACAAGACGTAGTTTATTAATGCCGAAAAAGAACGCAGTGCTAGAGACGCGGGTCAAAAGATTACAACAATTGAAGATTATAACATCGAAGCAGTGAAAGAGTTCATACAGGTACCTCGGAGCCTTGAGAAGCATAAACCGGAGTAATGATATCAGTAAAGAAATAATGAGACGCATTATGCTTGATAACCGCTGCTACAATGGACTGCCAAAATATCTGCGTAAATCGAAACTACAGTACCGCTCAAGTATATGATAATTTGGTTTTTCTCACATAACTTTTCTAATACTGGACGAACCTTCACACAATTATTAGGCAATGCATAACAAGTGAATACAATTATATTATATTCCAGAGGACACAATATATGCCAAAGCATAGAGGCGTGACAAATTTCTTTTGAAAATCGATGTCAAACCTAGAAATAACTTTTATTTAAATTTTTTGTTTTCCGTTATTTTCACGTGATATTTTCTGAAAGTTATGAAATATTATTCTTAAGAATGAGTAAAAAGAAAGGAGGTCGAGTTTTATTGGAATTGACGCAGAAGGCCATCATATAGGGTGCTCGACAAGGATGCACACAGATGCAGCTCACCACGCAGATTTCATCGGTATAGAAGACGTGGAGGACACTTGGTTGCTTCGTGACGAAGAAATTAAAATGATAGACCTCAAATCACCACTCGGCTGAAGGACAGGAAAGGCGCGATGCTGTGCAGAGCGAACACACGGCTCACGACGGTGGACATTGGGGGAGAATTGTGCAGTTCTGCGCAGCGCCAACCGTCTACATCGACGGTCAAGAGGAGGCTGAAGAATATCGTGCATACGCCATCCTACGGGCAGTCGCTTCGATCCCAAGTACCTGCTTCCCACGATGAAGCATGTCGGTGGTTCCGTCATGGTGTGGGGGTGCTTCAGCGCTGCTATCACCGGCTGTCTGTAAGATGACATGCTTCCCTGCCGACGCAGAAACATGGATAGATGTTGGCTGTTTCAGCAAGACAATGATCCCAAGCACACATCCAGGAATGTCCAACTAAATCGCGTAGGGTCGAGTGGCGGTAATGGACTGGTGCAGCCAGAGCCCGGATCTCAACATTTTCGAACCACTGTGGGACACTCTTTGACACAAGTTGAGGAGCATTCGGGCCACGTACGCCAACGAAAAGCTCCATCAGTTCCAGGCGAAGTGGGTGAAGATCGACCAGTCCACTATCGATGCATTAATCGATTCCATGCCCAGATGTCAGGCTGTGATCAATAGGATGAGTTACCCAATCAAGTACTAGGTTGCTCTACATGGCTGATTGCCGTTCACGATTGTTATGTTGATATTTCTTGAGTTATGATTTATTTTTGTTGACATTGCTTTATAGCGTATTTTCGTATTTTAATAAAAATTATTTTTTAATAACTCAAAGTTAAAACGGATTATTCCACACAAGTCTATGTCATGTGAAATACATTGCAAAAACTATGGTAAAAAAAATGGTCTGCTTTCATAAAGTTTCAAAAAAGTTATGTGGGAAAAACTAAATTATCATATACTTTTGAGCGGTACTGTATCAAGAAGTTTGAAATTGATCAAGAACCGATCATAATTTATAAAAGCCTAATTGTACCAGTGCTGATCTACGGCACGGAATCATGGACCTTAACTAAAACAGATGAAACACTACTAGCAACATTTGAAGGAAAAATCTTGCGGAAAATATATGGTGCAGTGCATGAAAATGACGTCTGGAAACGTAGATATAATTTTGAACTCAATAACTTATGTAGAGAATCGGGAAACAGAGATATAATAACAACGATCAAGATTGCCAGGTTTAGATGGTCAGGACATATAGCACGTTATTACATGGGTATACCAACGAGGCGAACATTTGAGGCCGTACCTACCAACAGGTAATAGAGGCAGAAGGAGACCAAGACTCAGATGGAAAGACAGGGTATAAGAGGATGCGGGAAAGATTGGTGTATCTATGCAAGAGACCGGAAAGGAAGGCGGACGAGGCTAGAGATAGTCGAGGCCCCCTATAGAACTACTGATGATGATAATATGTCAAAACGTGAAACCACAAATTGTGTTACACCACCGAACCACCAACAGTATCAGAAGTAAGCGCCGTAATCGAAGTCCTAAGAAACAATAAAGCCAGAGGAATTGCTCACATTACTGCTGAAATCTTCAAAAGCGGAGGTGAAGAGCTGAGAGCTGCTGAATCACGGAGATATAGAAAGAAGAAAAGATTCCCAGGAAGTGGGCGAAATTATATTCTGTTATATTTTTTAATATAATGTTATAAAGAACGAACAGAATATACTTAAAGCATCAGGCAAGAATTTTCGAATATCAGCATCGTATCTGGTACATTTAGCAACAGTCAGGTTTCTTATATAATGATAATAATAATACTTTATTGATGATAATATCATTTACATGATTTTCGTAAGTCAGACACATGCATAATTATACGGGGTTCCCAAAACTCCCGGGACGGAGCTATAAGTTTTGAACGTGTAAGAAAAAAATTTGAAAATTTGGGGATCACTAAAGAGTCATAAAAACTACATTCTTAGATAGTTTGGAATTTCCATGCAATGTGTGTACATTTTTAAATAGTAACCCCTGCCGAGTTTTACCTTATTTTAAAGGTAATGAAAAAAGAAACACAACCCCATAAACCAAAACCCGATATCTTAATTCTTTCAAGGATTATGAGGGGTTGACTATCAAATGTGAAAATAAAATGTTTTCATGTTTTTTGCACGTTTATTACGATTTTTATAACAAATGTTCAAATTGTCGACCTTCTCGCAATGACCCAAATGCTCATAAATGGAATTTTGAACCATCAGGAACATATTCCTAGTGATATTGGTGGTTTCTTCAAGTATGCGATTTTCCAAATCATTTATTGATTCTGGTTTTGTTGCATACACTCACTTTTCAAAAACCTCCAAAAGAAAAAGTCGAGTGGTGTTAGATTAGGAGATCGTGGTGGAAACTCAAATTCATCTCTTCTACCAATCCAATGGTTTGGAGACGTTCGGCTTAAAAAGTCTCGGACTGCGCGACCATAATGTAGAGGAGTTTGTTGGAACCACTTATTGTCAATACCATTATGGCATATGGCATGTAGACTTGGAACCACTTGATTTTCTAACAGTTGCAAATAAATATCTGGAGACAGATGTCTCCGTCCAAATTTCCATTAATAAAAAATTGACAATTAGGTTCTCTCCCATAATACCAGCCCTTACATTCATTTTCTGTGGTCTCTGAGTATGATCTTCTCTAATTAAACGTGGATTTTCGTCACTCCAATAACCACAATTGTGCCTATTAACCTTACCATTTAAGTAGAAAGTTTTCCAAGTCACCTTCATTCAATTCCTGAACTGGGTAAAATTTATAGAGGAAATAGTTATTTCTTTTCAAAATTCTGTGGACAGAACTTTTACCAATTTCTTGTACCTGAGACGCTTTTAATAAGAAACTTGAAGGTTCTTCAATAAAAGCAGTAACACTTCTCCGGTTTTTTCTGGAATTATTGCAGATTTCGCTCTACCAGTTCTCGGAAGATCTTTTACAGTTCCCTCTTCTTGAAATCTTCGAACAGTTCTTTCGAGTGTAGATTTAGAAATCGGTTGATAAAAAAAACATTGAAGACGTGCTGCACTTCATCGTAAGATCTTGTTCTATCCCCAAAGTCACGAATCATTAAAAGAGTGATTCTTACTTTTTCGGTCAGTTTTTGCGCCATTTTTAGAGGTAATAAAAGCAAATTTTAGAAAACAAGTTTGTTTTTAACGGTTGTAGACAAGATACTCCATTTGAGTAATACTTGCTTTGTCCTCTCCAGCTAGAATATTTGATTTTTGAACGGCAAAACCTCTTTTAACATCAGCTTTTAAAGATGACCATGCATGTTTGATAGCATTATACATTTGATTGTATGGATCAGTTCTGAATATTCGATGACCATTAAATTCACCTTCTTATAACACTTCTTGAAATTAATTATGGCAAGGGGCATTATCAGTTATCAATATAATTGTGGATTGATACATATTTTCTGCATTTCCAAACCAATGTCGCATAAATTCATTTGCTTTTGGTCTCTTGAAGGCTCTTCTAATTCCATGATAAATCAAACCCATATACACTATACATCCAATAACACGAGTGTTTGCTCCTCTACAGCTGGCACAAATATATGACCAACAGTCTCCTTTGATCGTCTCTTTCTTCTTGATATAAATAGACTAAAATTGGTTTCATCTACGAGTATTTAAATAATAACGAAAGAATATTTGCTTTGTCCAGCTCATTGCAAATATCTTTTTGTTATATCGTCTTATAACTTTAAACAGTTTTGCATAAAAAATTAATGAAGATACCTAAAAAATCGAGATTCTGAATCTATTTTGCCTTGCTGCATGTCTTCAAATCACTGAACGTATACAGGAACATAAAGATACGTGTGTACAAAACTATAATTTGGGCTATCTTAACACTGCAGTAGTCTCACTTCCGGTTATTACAAGTGTGGGCGCATCATCTCTAAGATGCCTATGCAAATGAATGCAATTAACTGGTTAGTCCAGACAGACTGTCCACGTCATCTCTTAGATGACATGCAACTATTGGAGTGTTAGAGTTTGTGTTGAAAGGAAAGTTTTTTTGATAGCAGCACCACTTTTTTGTGCAATGAAAAATAATAATAAGACATTTTACCCTAACAACTTCTTACAAAACTAAAATATCTCAACCCATTCCAAAGATACTTAACCTAAGAGTCTTAAGTGAAACACCCTGTATAGAATTAGATATAATGAGAGTTCGTGAAAATACAGAGACTGCTGTGGGCAAGGTGTGTAATAAAGATGGATGAAAATCATTTATCACAGAGAAGGTGGGACGAGACAGAAGACGAAGTGGCTAAACAGCTAATACAAGTGAAAAACTGAAAAAGGATGGAGACGGAGAAGTACAAGTGGAGAGCAAGGCTCAATGGCTGTAGTGCCACAAAGGGAGAGAAAGAGAGAGAGAGTTTGGGTTATCAATGAAATTAAAAATTTCTTAGTGATAACTTTATTTCAATACGGAACGTCTATGATAAAGAAGCTACAATAAAAGAACTTGGAATGAAATAGTGAATGTAAAACAATATTTTTGAACGTGTGAAACAAGGAAAAAGAAAAATAAAATACTGCACATACACAATAATTCATTTTAACAAACAAAAATACACACTACGAACGTAAGAGACGACGGAAATTGTTAGTTAAATCTTAATTTACTGTTTCTTTTTACTTACATTAACATAAATTGTTTACAAACAAAGATAAAACAAGAAATAAACGAACTTAATAATTATTTGTATTAATTGATAATAAAAAAGTGTTGTAAAATCAAAGTATATGTTTGAATAAAAACGCAATCGTTATTTTTTGTTTAATCTTTACCAAGTAAATTCGTACTTTAACGATAATAATAATAATTAAAAAATGCTTTTTATTTTTTGTCATTTTTGCAAATACTTTTTATAATTTTTTTTTACATTTTTTTTCATTTTAAAGGGGCATCTATCCGCACGACGCTACGACAAATCCGATTGTTAATTTTGTTTTACTTTCCGCACCTTCCTATCTTAAAAATTACGTGTAGGTACAATAAGCAATCATAACTTAAGCTAGGTACTAACGATATACAATGTTTCATAGACATCATTCTCAATTAACATTCTCCGTTGACTTTTACATACAAAATTTTCTCTCAACATCATTTTAATTTTCCTTTAATTTTCTTAAGCAAGTAGTATATTTTATTTATTTGTATTTCAAGCAGAAATGTGACATTTTATTTTTATTTACATAAAAAAGAAAGAAAATAATTATTTTTTTTTAGATACAAAACATTTATCGTCATTAAAAATTCGGTGAAAATTGAGTGTGAGTCTTAAAATCTAAAAAATCTACATTTTTTTTTTTTTTTCGTCTAAGTTTATTATTATTTTTTTTAACAAAAAAAGTTGGAAGGTGCAGAAAGCTCCGAGGCTGGTCTGGGGGTGAACTACTCGATGTTATAGAGCATGCAAACGTTGTTACCGTTAGCTAGAGCCGCAGGAACCAACGGTGAAGTTGGTGCCAAAACGGCAAAACCGAGAAACATGAATGTACGGACCAAAACGGGCCGATCTTGTCTATCACCGTTGAAGACGACGACGACATGTTGACAATGAAGTTGTTCCTCGGCTGCTTCTAGCAAGGCTACGAATGCTTCACGCGATCCCTCAGGCAGCATGCACGGTGGCAGCGCGACGTAGAGTGTCCTTCCTACGAGGACACCCTCCCATGGTTGTCGTGGGGTGCGGAAGGTGAGCCGCAGCGGCGGCGGAGCGCCCCTGGGTTGCCCAGGGGCATCAGGACCACCACAGAGGCCCTACTCCCGGAGACATAGAGGTGCCCAGCGAGGCTGGGCTCAATGTTTCCGTGGATTGCTGTTTACTACTACTCAATGAAAAGCTCTCTCTGAAAAAAAAAAAATTAAAATTAAAAACATTATCAAAAATTCTGACGCAGAAATGAAATCATTGCGACATTTGAATCTGCAGAGATAAATTAATTTTACGTCACGTTTGTTCCAAAGTACAACGCGCATTTCATGGTTTCAAACGGAGTATTTTTGGAAAGGTATTTATATTAAAATATAAAATAGATAATTTTGTTATCGATGTGTCAAACATAATCGGCTGATACAAGAAAAAAAAAACGTGTGCGCGTTATTTATGGCCTTATCTTTGATATTCATTTATACCACATTAAATGTTTTAAACATATTTAGAGTTATATTTATAAATATTTCAAAAAAGTATGGAAATAAATGGAATGTAAGAGATATATTTAGGCTTCTAATTAACTTGATCATCGCTTCAAAAGATTCTAAGAATCAGAAAACTAAACTGCACAATATGGTATCGTCAACACCATTTACAAAAACAGCAAAGAGTAGCCGATCTTAAAACAATACCCTGGGAAATAGCGGATTAGATTTCAAGAACAGAAAAAAGTAAAGAATCATCGTCTCTACGTAAAAAACGATGGGAATCTTTTGTGTTGAACTCCGCCTGGTATAAAGGATTTTATATAAATGTCTTGCCAAGATCGACCGAAGGGTTTAAAGGGGTTTAACCTTCGTTTTTTTTGCTCTGAGGCCCAGATATAGATATTTCAGATTCATGATTTCTTTTGGCAATCGACGTTATGGTCACCACTGATTTAGAGCTTATAAATAAAAAATGGGAATAATTGGGTTCAATCTTGTTATGGATCTAGTCTTTATGGTCTATTACTAAGGTTTTATGTATAAAAAGTATTTCCCCATCGCTTTTAGTTTTTGAGTTATGATTGAGTTAATTTTCGAAAATCAACAATTTTGATGTTTAATCGATTTAGAGCTTATAAATAAAAAATGGTAATAATTGGGTTCAATCTTTTTATGGATCTAGTCTTTATGGTCCATTACTAAGGTTTTATGTATAAAAAATATTTCCCCATCGCTTTTAGTTTATGAGTTATGATTGAGTTAATTTTCGAAAATCAACAATTTTGATGTTTAATCGATTTAGAGCTTATAAATAAAAAATAGTAATAATTGGGTTCAATCTTGTTATGGATCTAGTCTTTATGGCCCATTACTAAGATTTTATGTATAAAAAATATTTCCTCATCGCTTTTAGTTTATGAGTTATGGATTGAGTTAATTTTCGAAAATCAACAATGTTGATGTTTAGTCGATTTAAAGCTACTAAACAAAGAACGGTTATAATTGGGTTCAATCTTTTTATAGATCTAGTCTTTATGGTCCAATACTAAGGTTTTATGTATAAAAAGTATTTCTCTTACGAAAATTCTTAGGATTAAACAATTAAAACAGAAATAAACTATTAAAAATTGAATTGGAAGATTCTGGAATTCATCGGCGTGTATTATGTTAAATTAAATTGTAATCTGAGGGATATGGTTATCTTTTATTCAAAAATTGACGAATTTTCCTGAGGATGAGGACTGGATCCTCGAAACATGTAGAATAGAGAATTTAAATAAATATAACATTGAAAAAGTATAGAAAAAGTATTTTCATCTAAATGTTTAACAGGTTAAGCTCATTTGTTTAACCTAATAATGGACAAAGTTATACAGAAGGTGTCGTTGTTCAGCTTGAACTATAGAATGAGCAAGAATAAAGTCAGTATGATATACTAAGCTGACGATAAAACAATCATGGCAGAAATAGAAAATGGTATGCAAAGACGAAATTTTATCAAGTAACCCAACTGACCATATCCACTGATAAAACAAACAATTATGACCATCGTCAAAAATTAGATGCAAATTTGTGGTAGAAGACAAGCGCATCGAACAAATCAGTCAGTTCAAATATCGTATAAATGTATAAAAACAGTACATATAAAAGTGATACGAGTAAAAATATGTATTTTCTGAAATCCACAGGACATATTAGTCATAAACTTACTTAAGCTGGAAAGGATGGTTTTATGAGAGCAACATCATAAAACTAAAGAGTCAAGGGATCTATATGAAATTGTATGAAGAAGCGGTTTTAAAAACCAGTTCTTGGAAACTAATGTTATGGCTACGATACATGGATGATATTTTTGTCACCTGGAAACATGGCAAACAAAGGCTTTTTTAAACAGCCAGTATCCAATGAAAAAGTTCACAATGTAGGAAGAAAAATACAACCAGCTATTCCTCGATGTATCAGTTACCAGGACTAACACTGGACAACTCAAACGTAGAGTATACCGGAAGAAATGTACACGAACAGGTACCTATAAGCTTTATCACATCACCATTCACAACAGAATATATCCGTAATTTACACCTTTCTCCAAAGAGACAGGTGATTATGCGAAAGAGAATTTGAAAAATGAAGATCAACAACGGGCATCCAATGGATTTCATCTAAGCGATTAAAAAAGGATGGACGACATCGTGGTAAGACTCGTGGTCGATAACAAAGGATAAACTTTCTCAGTTAAAGGGGTCAGGACTCTATGACATTCGTACAAGTATGAGAAATAATATGTAAGGCAAACTGGATGGAACATCGAATGTCGTATAAAGGAACACAAAAAGTAAAAACAGAGTCGCATAACATTGCCACTACCACCAGAGAATTACCAGATCAGAGAGACCATAGAAACTTATCAGCATAAGAAGAACATCAGTACAGAGGATGGTAGCCGAATCTACAAGATTTTACTGAACTTGATGAAGATACGATATTTTTTGTGACTCATTAAGTATCAACGAACTATGCGAACTATAAGTCAATGAGACTTCGACATTTATTGAGATATTCAGGAGAATGAGGAGCCATGTTTAGTTATTGGGATGAATTCAGCATTAGTGATAATGATTGGTAGGTATTGAGAGTCATTCGCAACAATTCGAAGTTAAAGTCAGCGCGAAGCATTGCGGTCTTATAGAACCCATTCAGTGTCAATGAAAGATATTGGGTTACAAAGAGAATTACCGTATTCGTTCGAATCTAAGGCGCACTATTTTTGCTATATAACCGTTCATGAAAATGGGGTGCGTCTTGGATTCGAACGAATTTCGAATATATCTATATAATGCAAACACAAAATGTTTTTATCATTATTGTGTAATAAAGTAATTTACTTATTTACCATTTTTATTTTAAGACGAATTTTTTTTCTTCGATATAGGTAATCATTCAAAGAAATCTTAGAATCGACTGCGTCTTAGATTCGAACGAATACGGAATTTGTTGCAATTGGAAGTCTTTAAAATCATAAAATATAAAGAGCAATGTAAAAAGAAAAAAGTGGAAGATATTGCGAGCAATTCATGGTCAGTGCCTCAGAGTTTATGAGGTATATCGAGAGCCGTTAAGACCTCTTCAAAGCATAAGGCATAGAGATCAGCTATTAGCTCATAAAAGCGAAAGGTATTTGGAGCAGTGAAAGTCGAAGAAGTTACAAAAGTTTTTTTTTCATCGAAACCTAAATAAAAATAATTTATCTACAACTATTGAATTATCTATTCGTTATACAATTGATTTTTGACGGGTAATGACACGCATTACTCATGACTGACAAAGTGTTGAATAATGAAGCCATTATTCTACAGTTCTGACACAGCCTACTAATCAAAAAAACAAATTTTAACAGAAATGACAGCTTTCTTATATTGAGGTTATGTCTGAAATGTCTATCAAGTTTTTTTTTTTTTCCTTTTTTAGATTTTTTTCAAAATTAAATAGTTGTAGATAAAGTATAGTATTCAACTTGCGTATAATGGATGTTACCCACTCAGATTACAACTTTATCTTCGTGGGTAATAACCGCCATTATACGCTTGTTGAATAATATATTATTATCTACAACTATTGAATTATCTATTCATTATACATTTGATTTCTGACGGGTAATAACACGCATTACTCATGACCAGTGATGGGCGCTGGGTAAATACCCGGCGGGTAGGTATTTCTAAAATGGGTATTTATCCGGGTATTTACCCCGGCCTAGGGTAAATACCCAAACAGTGGGTATAAAAGTGATACCAGTAAAAATATATCGATTCCAATAAAAATGAAGAGGAAGACGATGAGGACGTTGAAGACGAGGAATTGTCAACAATCAAAGACGTATTATCATTAGACGAATCTGCCGTAATTGAGATTAGATCAAGTTATTATGATTATTATCACCAAGCAGCCCTCTGTGTCCATTGTTGGACATAGACCTTCCCTATTCTGTGCTGTTTGAATCCAATTGTTGGTCATTCTTATGACGTCTACTTCGTCTGTTCGGTCGCGGTCTTCACTCAAGCAACCATTTTGTCCACTGCTCATTCTTCATTCGCACGACATGACCCGTCCAGTTCCACTTAAGCTTTGCCACAATGTTGACCACATCATTTACGCCAGTTGTTCTTCATAGGTCTTCATTTCGTATGTAGTCCCTCAGAGTTAGACCCAGGATCGACCTCTCCATCTATCTTTGCGCTACTTGGACCCTCCTGGCAGTGGTTACCGTTAATGTTAAAGTTTCGGAGCCTTATGTCATAACCGGAAACACGCATTGATTGAAAGCCTTTCTTGGCCTTTTCTCTTGAAGATGTCTCTAAAATCCTTCTGTTTAGTAGGCTTGTTTGATTATCTCTCAATACACGAACCTCATAGCCAAAATATACATAGCTGTGAACCCTCTCAGTCTCATTATCCCTAATGTTGATGTTAGAGCTGGGAACAAGATTTATCATGAATTTTGATTTCTCCTTGTTGATATTTAGCACGACTCTTGCACACACCTCCTTTAAGTCGTTCATCATTAGTTTAATCTCTCCAAGGCTATTTGATAAAAGAACTATATCGTCCGCGATATGGTCCAATCCAGTTGTTTAAATGCACTCTGAGGACTGTGATGAACAATTTGAGTTCAACAGTGTCCCGCCTTGTTTTACTCACAATCAGTACTTTACTACTTTTACTCTCTTCAGTACTTTCATGCAATTTTACCGTCATTGTAGCATTCTTGTAGATGTTATAAATAACTTTGGTATGTTGATAAGCGACTTTGCGTTCTTGAAGTCCTTGCAAAACTGCCATCAACTCAATTTAAATTAAATTTATAAATACCTCAAAATACCCATCTTGAAAATAAATATCCGGGTATTTAACAAAACACTGCTCATGACTGACAAAGTGTTGAATAATGAAGCCATTATTCCACAGTTCTGACACGGCCTACTAATCAAAAAATCAAATTTTAACAGAAATGACAGCTTTCTGATATTGAGGTTATGTCTGAAATGTCTATCAAGTTTATTTTTTTTTCCTTTTTTTGATTTTTTTTCAAAATTAAATAGTTGTAGATAAAGTATAGTATTCAACTTGCGTATAATGGATGTTACCCACTCAGATTACAACACTCGCTCGCTTCGCTCGCTNCTTGGATAAGTCATCATTACCGCACTCATTTGAGGTGATTTGAGTTACGTAATGAAGTTCATTACCGCACTGGTTTCATTACGTAACGCATTTTTAGGCTAATCAGAACAGACTTAATTTACTGAAACGAGCAACAATGCAAAAGAAAAAGTGCTATCTACTTACGGAGAAACAATACTAATTATTATAAACATTAATTGTTATGTTTTTACGTTTTGAAACACTTATTCCAGATGAGTAAACATGTTTTTGAAACTGACAATTCACAATTGTCAACAATCATTTCACAATATTTTTATAAATGTCAAATAGACTTTTTTAAAGAAATTGATTTTTTCGTAATTTTTAGTAGTCGTAGATAAATAACTCGTGTGATTACACGACTCGGTTTACGACCTCGTCGTGCAATTCTCCACACTCGTACTGTAATTATGTTTCTAACCCACTTGTAATATATAGTCAGTCCCAAAAGTCATCGTACCAACGGTTTTTGCAAGATTTCTAAAATAGAATCGTATATAAGAGTTATTTTATTTATCATAGTTACAATTATTTTATTTGGACACATGTGTAAATAAAAAACACTTAAATTCAATAAAATAACAAAATAAATTAATAATTCTTCAAAATTGTTGCATTGCAATCCATTGAAATCTCACGAAAAGTAATCGTAAAGCTGAAAACTGACGGGAATTTCTCCATGTTTTTATGAAACTGCGTCTACTATTCAGTACATAATTAAAAAGTTTGTAGATACCGGAAATATTGAAAATGCACCACGTCCAAAATTGCTACCTCCCCGAGATGAACGAAGCAGTAGAGAAGAAGTAATCGCAAATCTTCGGACATGCGGCCCAAATATAGCAGGAAACCTTTAGAATCAAGTTAATAAAACTGTAAGTGCAGAAACTGTGAGAAGAGTTTTGCGATATGCCGGCTATAACGGATTTGCAAAAATGCACAAAGAAAAGGATATGGATTTTTGGAAAAGGGTGATATTTACAGACGAGTCAAAATACATCATTTTTAGATATGATGGTAGAGGTAAAATTTGGAGGAAAACCTGTACAGCGCTAAATTTAAAAAATCTTCTACTAACAACTAAACATGGGGGTGGATCTGTTATGATGTGGGGATCTATGGCTGCTTCAAGAGTATATACAGCTCATGTAGTTCGCGAATGTCTTTTATATAATGTTCCTAAGTAGCTACATTCTCCACTACAGTCACCAGATATTAACCCCATAGAACAGGTGTGGGATTATTTAGAAAAAGTAATTAGAAAACACAAGATTAGTAGTAGGAAACGTTAAAAGTTGCATTGCAAGCAGAATGGGGAAAAATTCCGATTTTTTATACTAAAAAAAAAAGCTTGTGCAATTGAGGACCTACGAAGTACTAACACTACGCTGATTTCGTCGTTCATTGCAACATTTAGAACTGTACAGTTACTTTTGTGAGGTTGCAATTGAACAATTTTGAAGAATTATTAATTTATTTTGCTATTTTCTTGAGTTTAAGAGAAAAGCTGTCAATTATTGTAAAATTCATATGTATGCTGACATGGAAATTTTTCATGTAGGGGCTGCATGAAAAATTAATAAGGATGATATTGAACTCTGATAAAAGTGTAGTTATTCTGTTTGGCAAAAATGTGGAAGTCGAGGAATTGAAAGCTAATCAGATTCTTAAGTTGAACGGTTGCAATATACCTATAGTTGATCAGGCAAGGAATCTTGGGCTAATTGTTGATAATGCCTTTATGTTTGGATTCCATGGTACAGCTCTGTTTTCTCGTGCGTTTAGCTACTGTGCTTATAAGCTGTATAATTCTATCCCCGTCACCATTAGAGCCAAAAGGGAGGGTCTTTTGGGGAGCGTTATTGTTTAGGCATTTATTTGAGTGACAGTGACTTCTTATTTGCTTGTTTAGTGGATCAATCTAATTTTAATACAAGTAGAATAATTTGTTTTATTTCATTATATTATTTTTCATATTTTTATTGCTCATATATAATAGTTTTAGTTTTAGGAGTATGTTTTGTTCTCTTTACTCTGGAAATAAAGGCAGTTTATTATTATTATTTACGATCATTTTTTAAATATCATGCAAAAACCATTGGTGTACGATGACTTTTGGGATTGACTGTAAATAACTATTATTTATTTATTTGTTTCCTGCAATCACAATTTATGTTTAAAAGAAGAATCCTGTACATTCTCGAAAGCACTTTTTACAATAAACCAAAGCAAAATAAAATATTTTGAAATATCATGAACGTCCTTGTAAATTATTTCTGTTAAAAAATTAATTTGTTACGTTCTTATCTATTGATTATCAACAAACTTATCTCTATCCTGATAATAAACCACATCAAAAAAAAAGTAAAAATCTTAAACAATCTATAGAATTCCTATTTTCTCCATCGACACGATGACTTTCATCAATCAAAACCCTCGTTCAATGTCACACTGCTATCGCATTTCAATGTCGATTCGAAACATTCTTCAATTCTATTTTGCACATTGCGATATTACTGTTTATACTCCACATCAAAACAAACTAAAAATGCTTCATAATCATCCATCAAGTATCTGTAACTATTTATAACTCGAAAACGTCGTAAATAATATTCCTTGGCTTAACTTTTTCTGTTTTGTTTCTTTTCATTTATTTTTTTAAATTTTGCATGCTTGCAGCGATAATGAGCAAGCTATAACAGTAAACGTTTATGTAAAATAAAGGTCGAGTAAGATTTGTTTGTCCTTTTGAAATATCACAACAAAAGGAAAAATAAAAAGAATTCCTTGGTAATCTAAAACGTGATTTAGAAAAAAAAGGTGGTAATCATATTAACTTACTTAAATCTAATTAACTTATTTCAGTTTTGTAACGTAATCTGATTTAAGGTAATCTTTTGGTATTCAGTGTCAAGATATTTCAATTTGATAAAAACATAGTAATATTAGTTAATTAAATCTTAATTTTTAGCTCGTTTATTTAAATAACGATGTTACGTCAAAATTGTTGTTGACCAGATACGCATTCGCCCGCTTCATCTAAAAATATAATTCCCGCTGTGTTTATTTATTCAGAAACGCCACCAAGTGTCGGTGGAAATTTCCACTGTGAACTCGGTTCGTTCTGTTATCGTCTTCGTTTCGGTTCAAGCCACGTGACCTCCGCTTTGTTTACACAAACACGCATACTATTCATTCAAATAATTAAAATGATCAAACAAAAACATAAAAATTAATTAAGAAATAAAACTCACGTTTCATTATAATTATAACTATTGTTGATTGATGAAGGAACGTTTTGTTCATCGAAAACAACGGCGTTAAGTTTCATGTCGTCGTCAGTGAGAAGAAGGACGGTTCTTGTTTGTTGTGGTCTTTTCTCGGGACCGTTCGACAGATAACTGGCATAATTCGATTAGAAATTTTTGCTTATGCCCTTCTTTTCAAAACATGCGTTAAATAATATAATAATATAAGGACAATTGTTTGCGTGGCAGCATCTTGGCTGCGGTTTGTGCCAAAAAACGTAAATGCGCTGTTACAGACGTCAATCTATTTTTAATTAAAACGAATGAAAAATAAAACGTGTATATTTTGAGATGTACTTGTGATTATTTAGACGCCATGTTTTGAAACTAACGGAGCGGAGAAAGTTCGTTAACTGTGGTATTCTCGTTTTCAATTGAATGCCAAATTTTAAATTCCAATTTTAAAACACGTGGTTAAAAGGAATCTAATCCATTTGTTTGCGTACTTTACCAACAACCGTGATTCAACCAACTTGTTGTTAGTCTGTAGGGTTGAGTTTATATTAGCTTAGAAGGATGTCCAAATCATCCAACATGGAATAAATGGGATTTAATGATATTAAAGAGAGAGTAGTGTTGAATTAATTATTTGTTTATTTCTTATTTATTTTGACACTTGAGCTGTTTTCTCATTAATCCATGCAAATATTAGCACATAAGTATTCAAGAAGACTATGAATCGTGCCCTCCAAGACTAATAACATAATAGATGTAGAAATTCTATAACCTCGTTGGTGTTGTGATAACTCGAAAGATTGGGCTAAATAACACTGGATGTAATGCCGATGTGGAAACATAAAAGTACAACATAATCTGGGTGTGACATAGACTGGGAGTGAGAAATCTAATTTGCAGCACAAAATGGATCCTGCCAACAGCAGCAATATGTGGACGATAAGTCATAGGAGAATCCAAGATGACACCTAAGTTACTTAAACGCTGACCAATGAGAGATCTTTTTTAAGACTATCACTTAGGAAATCCACAACGTGAATATCATTTATGTATAAGAGATCGCGTATCAGAGAAACATACTTGGCCAAATTGGACACTTTTAAAGGGAAACTCCTATTTCTATAAGACATACAGGAAAAATGATATCAGTATCTGAGTTTCGATTTTTATAAGAAACTTAATGGCGAAAACGGTATTGAAAAAGTCGTCATAACTTTTTTCTTATTGATAAATCTTCCTTTCTGTGAAAACATTTCCAAAGCAACTTTTTAGGTAGAATTCGATGGAATAAGTTAGCTTTCTCTCAAAGCAATATTTTAGTAGTTATTGACATGAAAATGATTTTTTTAAATGGAATATTTTTGCTAATTCGACTAGAGCATAAAATTTGCTTTCCAAAAAATATAGCACACTTGATATTTCGTTTAAGTCTTCTTGAAATATACAACTTTAAAACTTATATGTGCAGATTTTGAAAAAGTAGGCTTTGGAAATAAAAGAAAAACGAGATTATATTTAAGTAGTATCAAGATAGTTGGTTACAATGAATTAAAATATAAACTCATAAACAAAAAGCAGATTAAATTAATAAAACTTATCTTATTATAAAACAAGAATAAGTATATTGCAACAAATAACAACAAAAGTAAACCCCTGTTTTATAGAAAATGTTCAAAATGTCCCCAAAATGGTTTGTGTTATACACAGTAGACATCTGTTTTTAGCCCTTTTGTGGAGTTGATAAGCTCAATGGGCCTAAGTGTTGCAAAAGCGTTCACAACTGCGGCTTCTAATTGCTGTCGGGAATTTATTGGCTGTTTATAAATAACATCTTTCAATCTTCCCCAAAGGAAAAAATCCATAGGTGTTAGGTCCGGTGACCAAGCCGCCCAACGAATAGAACCTTGATTACCGAACCAACAATCACCAAAAGCTGCGGTCAAAAAATTGGTGATAATAGCAGCATTGTGAGGTGCTGCACCATCATGTTGAAAAAATACATTTCGCAGGTGCGCTAGAGATAAATCGTCAACAACAGGTTCGATTTGTTGCCTAAATATGCTTCACTACTCACATACGCTTCATCTGTCCAAATATAATTTAAAGAAAAATAGCGTGCATCATCACATTTTCCCAAGAGCCACTGGCAAAAATTCATCGCCGTTCAAGATCTCCTGGTCTGAGGTTAAAGGACTTACAACTTGAATTAAAATTTGACAGATAGATGACTCATAAACACTGCATTTGTTTTATCGAAACGCCGTCAAAGCCTACTACTACGCAATTGAAAATCTTAAAAGTTTCCAAGTTGTATATTTCAAAGAAGACTTGAACGAGATATCAAATGTGCTATACTTCTGGAAAGGAAATTTTATGCTATCGTCGAATTTGCAAAAATATATAGAGTGTTCCATTTAAAAAATCATTTTTATGTCAATAACTACTAAAATATTGCTTTGAGGGAAACCTAACTTATTCCATCGATATTAAAATAATAAACAAATAAATATAACTTCTTATCTTGCAAAATTCAATTTATTTTAAAGGAAGTCATCTTCAGCCGAATGGTCAATAAACCACCTTGTAAACTGTGTAAATCTGAGTGTGTCTGATAGTAAAATTGACGAAGTTGCTACTTGGTTACTACCAGTAATTTTGATACTGTTAATCAGTAAATCGATTACAATATACAATAACAATTTTTCATATTTTTTTTTAGTTACCAGTAAAAGATTCAAATTTTCTCTGACCTTATTTCTGATTTTGGGGTGTCATTTTGCAAACCTTTGTATTGCTGATGGAGGATTTATTTTTCAGTATATAGCAGTGTATCGACGTACATTTGTTTTGGTTCTTCATGTTTATATCTTTTACCAGTGTTTGTTACTCATGTCTAACATTATATCTGGAAACTAACACATAAGCACAAGTTAACTTCCAAATACAATATCATATTCATAATTTCATATTCAATAATCATCATATTCATCATATTAACATCGAGAGTACTACGTAGTACTTTAGTTCTCTTATTGGTTTATAACTTCCGGATTGTGGTCTACTTATTAAGAAACTTGATTTTTGCTGCAATTGAGTGATCTCTCCTCTATCATAAGACCAATTATATAATTACTTAGACTGGTTTGTCTATTATTGCTTTTTTTTTTATTTTTTAGTTGTTGGTTTATTTGTTAGACTCTTAAATCCAGCTGTAGCCACAAACTTTAGTTAGCTTTCAGTAATATTACTCTGTAGATCTAGGAGAATACTCTTTTTCGCAACATCACACAACATCATCGAAACATCATGAAAATAAATGGCGAATTAAGTATCTGTTTAATATAGTAATAATGAAATCATAAAACAAGTACACAAACTAAGAGGATACAAAATGAGAAATAGAAAAGTCAAAATCCTATGCTATGCAAATAATGCGGTGCTGGTGGCGGTGAACGAGGATGTTCTCAGAGGTTACTATACCAGGTTAGACATAGCAAAAAAATTTAACATCATATATCAGCATATATGAGCAAATGAACATATTGGTATTGAAGTCAAAACTCTCATCTACAAGTCTGCAATTATACCTATACTAACTTATGCATGAGAAATCAGAGACTTCCAAAATAAAAAGAATACTGGAGATTGCAGAAATGAAAATTGTACGTAGAATAGCGGAGAAAACACTGATGAAGAGAGAAAGTTGTGAAAACATCAAATAAACATACAAAATATAATGATTAGTCGATCGCATGGTAGAGAAACGATTTGTGAGAATAACGAAGAACAGATCACCCATCAGGAGAAAAGAGCATAGAATAACTTAGAAAGCTGAGCGACCTTTCAAACAACTAAATAGGGACAAAGATGTGAAGAAAAACAGGCAATTATGTTTAAATACAGAGGGAAGAAGAAGGGAAGGTTTAGAACATTACGACTTTCGTAAAGGCAATTACAACAATTTTCGTGTCGCAAAGTGAATTGACTTAGTGTTATTTACATCGCCATCATTATAAATTAAAGTATATTCTGCCTTGTTTAGTCAGTGATGGGAGCTGGGTAGGTATTTATAAAACAGTACGTATAAAAGTGATAGAAGTAAAATATAACAGTCGGAAAAAAATGAAGAAGAAGATGACGAAATGGACATTGAAGATGAGATCAGACGAATCTATAGTAATTTAGATTAGATCAAGTTTATGATTAAAACTTAATATATTATTTAGCGTTTATTGTTTTATTTGTATGAGTTTTTGTAAATAACCATTGTTATTGCTTTTTATTTTTTATTAACTTTTATTTTTGAAGTAAACTTGTTTATTTTTAGTGGTCTTTGTACTGTTTTTAAATTTTATAAATACCTCTAAATACCCATCTTTATCATTAATTTTCCCATGAAAATAAATACCCGAGTATTTAACAACACTGCTTGTTCTAGATATCAATATTGCCTATAGTTGCCAAATTTCTGATAACACAATGCCCTTTATGTCATGGCAAAAATCATTTAAACATAAAAAGATATTGTGAGACCAATTTAAACTTATTGATCTCACTTACAATTATCTTTTCATTCAGATGTTTGGACTATAAAAATTATACATTTCAGTATCTATGCTAAACTGCTCTAAAAAGGAATTCATGGAATATGAATCTTTGATTCATCTATATCATAATTTGCATTTTAAATGTTGTATGAATTTTAATTTATTACGTTGGTCAGATTTAAGTTTATTTTCTGAAGATGTCCTAAATTTCTGGATGAAACCGGTAGACAAATCTAAAGATAACATAATGTGAGAAATCGTACTATTTTATAGTAAAGCATGATGATTAGAAAAAAATATTGGATCCATTAAGAAAATTGTTTGAAAATTTTGTTCTATTAGGAAATGAAAGATTTTGAGATGATAAAAGAAAAATTGTCCCTTACTTTAGTGCAAAATAAACTACCAATTTCCATTTTCTGACTACAAAATTTAAAATCGAACTTAATTTAAAATCCGAGATATCTATCCAATTTATAGACATTACTATTTTTATCCTTTAGAATACACGCAACCAAACAATTTATTCAATATAGGAGGGGTCCGTGACGTGTACTTTAAAGGTTAAACGTCATTGTTTGCATTGAAGTACCGCGTTTTTTTATTTAAAGTGTTATTTTCTATCTCGACATTATTGATTCTCATAAATCCAA